TTCTTACGCGCTTTCTTATCGACAGGCCGTCATATTGTGACAGATATAATTGTAAAAATAATGTTTCAAAGTTTGTTTGGAAAGCTTTCAAATCACCTTTATCATTACGCAATGCGAAATGTTTCGGTGAAGCATCTCTCTTTAATTTGCACAACTTCTATTTCAACTAACGTTTACTCGCTAAAAAATTGTTCAGTTTATTGAAGATCTTGCCGTATTTACAGCCCTAAATCATTCGGGTTCTTTTGGAAAGAATTTCGTGAAGTTTAAGAAAAAAAATAAAAATGTCATCCATCAACCTAGGTCGGTCCGTATTGGAAAAAAACTGTGCCCTTGGTCTTGAGGCACAGTTTTTCTCAATATGGACCTCCCCGGCTGGCGATTAACATATATTTCTTATGCGGACGATTCCCATTTTCAAAATAATAAAACAATTCCTTTATAATGATTTGCAACTATGTTAAGAATGAAACTTTAGCACAATAGCTTTATATGTGATCTTTCGACCAGAACAAAACTGCCAATGTCACATCGTGACTTCTAGAACTGTTTTGTTGTTTGTTTGTTTGAAGCGGCTTACAAACAATACTTTGCCGCAGGGAAAGGTCGTGAATTCTTTTATATGTATGTCACAAGAACACAATAGGCTCTTACCTTAACATTAAAACTCAGCTGGTTTAAAACTTGGTGCTTTATCCCTTTGAGGTGCCCTCGTTGAATAATACAATGATTTTTGGCTTGAATATGTTAAAGGTGCTAATGAAAGCCGCCGGCAGTTATTTACGTTTGAATCTTCAACTAAGCGTGGAAGGCGCTTGCAGAGTATTGACTGAGTGGTATTGCTAGGGACCGAAAAAACAGTTTTTAACCCGAACAGGTGAAAAGCAAAGAATTAAGCAACAAAATGTTTCTCGATAAGTCCGCAAGACTTGATTAAAACAGGCAACTGAGAAAATCAAAAACCTGCTTCACGAGCTTAGCTGCGGCCTGAAGAATTGGACCGAAACATTCAGGTTTAAACGTGATTGAATTCAATGAGTGGCTTGCTAGCTGAAGTTCATTTCAGATCAATTCACCATTCTCAACTAAATCTGGTAGTTGTGTCTGGCTCTGATAAAAGTGAAAATACAGAATTTTATTTTCGTGACTTCGTGAACTGCCTTATTATTTCTTTGTTTTGTTCTAAAAATTCCGTAAATAGCGATGAGAAATCATTGCCTCGAGGCGAAACAACACTTTCTTTGATAGCACGACTTACTTAGCACTGAACCCAAAGGTGAAATTTCGATACGAAACATTTCTTCGATTCAATATACCTTTTATTGAGTATTGTTTTTACAGCTTGTAGATGATAGAGAAGCTGTACTATTTTTCCTCAGATCGTAAGTTGAAGTCTAAGCCCTCAGTGAAGCGTTGAAAGTGATAGGTGGCAAAGCCAAAAAAGAAAGCCGAAAAAGCTCGCCTTTCCGTATAATTTACGATTTTCAGGGAGAGGAATAATTTTATATTCTTTGCTAGGAATTTTAACTTCTTGGGTCACAATCCGGATTAACTGACACCCTCCATTAAGACAAAAATATTATTAAGTTGGCACTGAAACAATTTTTTCACTTAATACTACGACTCCATCGTTTAGTTCGAGAGCCCTGCATTTTTGTGGAAAACATTTCTATTTTACCCTTATCCCAAAAGATGACGAGAAAAATTCAAACACATGCTTTCAAACTTACCAAAAGTTTCCTCCTCTATCGAATAAACATACACGGTGACAGAACTGAACTGTGAATTAACAAGACGAGATAATTGATTATTTCCTTTGAAAATAAAAGAGAAAAGGCAATGAAAATTATAGACAGAACTTATGGAAACTGCTTGCTTTAACAGTATTGTTACCTCTCCGGAGTCTGATGGCCAACTGAAAGTAGTTATTTCTTGCCGAACTATTTTTGCAATAAACAAAAAGCGAAAGGCGGAATTAATGTCAGTAAGAATGGGACTATTGAAACTTAAGAGCAAAACTGAAGCGTTAATTAAAGTTACTGGGCGCAACGGTGCTCTCTTACAGGGTGGGCGATAAAGGGTTTAAGGTCATACGTGATTAATGTCAAACTAACTGATGTCTGACACACGAACTTTACGTAAAGCCAGCGTGATTCTTGAATTTATGAACTAGAGTGAGGCATGATTTGCCTCCTGAAATAAACGTTACCCACTGACTTTTTTTGTTTGAGTTCAAGAAAACTTCAAACTTTCTATGAAATCCTTGTGCGTAAGAAGAGAGATCTGAAGTTTTCCCTTTTTATA